TTGTTAGAGGAGTACATGCCATCTTGAACTCCTTTCAGTATTCTTTTGTATGTTGGTTTTGGTTGGTTCATTGAAATCATTTGTTCTATGCTAGAGAAATGAGGCGACTTTCCCATGTTATGTAATGATTCAGAACCTTGGAAGCGTAGATTTAGGGTTACATATATTGTGAATTTTTCTGCCAGTGGTATTGCAAGTATTCATTTATCTTTCCATTTTTGGTTTTGCTTTTTCTCAGGTGGGTTAATTTCTGTTAGAGATAACCACCACTATCAGGCGAGATTTGTATATCAGCATGGACACACGCCAACTCTTTGGATTTGCTGTCACTGGTGCGACGGGAATGTCGTATTCTTCTCTTTACCGGACTGTTTCCTCGGTGGTGCCTGTCACATGTGGCAGATGACATGGCGCCAACAAGGTGACAACATGGCGGCTGCACATGTGGCATGCATGGAAGACTAGTAGCATAGAGATGCTCCTAGGATTCTCCACCTAAATGAGAGCTTAATGGTGCACTTATGGGCTACATTATGGGTAGCATTATTAGAGTGCATTATGGGGGGACTTTATGGGGTGTATTGATGTAGAGGGACCATTATGAGGGGCATTGATGCCTTGTATGAGGAGAGGCCTATATAAGGAGCCATCTCCCTCACTTGTAACTCATTCCATCATTTTTTAGAGTAATACACACTAGAGAGTTCTCCCAATCCTTTGTCTTTGCTCTTGTCTTTGCTTGCTTGTGAGTATGAGAGAAAGGCTGCCTAGCGCTCTAACGGAATTGAGAGCTAGGGCCGCACGATCGAGAGTAAGGTCGTGACAAGTGGTATCAGAGCCTGGTTCGGCTTTGTGCTAGCAAAGTTGAACCTAGAGCCAGAAGGAAAGAAAGAACCTCACCAGAAATGTCGGGATCAGAAGTCAATGACGACGGTGAGAAGCATCGTGGCCGAGAGCCTACCCCAACCGGGAGGCCAAAAGACAAGTCGAGCACTCGTGATCCTCTCAGATCTCTAGAGAGGCGAGTCTCGAGGATGGAGGTGAAGCTTTCTGAAGATATCACCGCCATCGAAGATTTGGGAGCTAACTTCGCCCAAGTCGAAAGCGATTTTCAAGGTATGAATACTCGTTTGTCGAGCTTGGAGATCAACCATGATGGGATGTGAGAAGAGCTCGTGGCTCTCATCACCAACACCATCTCCGAAACCGTGAGCACTGCCATTGCGGTTGTGAAAGAGCATGTCCAGGTTGAGCTGGTCGGCGTGAAGGAGGAGATTGCAGATCTCAAGAGTGAGGTCACTCTCGTGAAGAGAGCCATGGCTAGCGGACCAGCCACGGTGCAATCCGTCCCACGTGCTGATATTCCAAGACCGAAGAGCTTCGGAGGTTCAAGGAATGCGAGGGAGTTAGAGAACTTCCTTTGGAGTCTTGAGCAGTACTTCAAGGCGTCCGGCATCCAAGAGGATGAGGTAAAGATTCGTACCGCTCCACTATACTTGGTTGATGTTGCCATGGTGTGGTGGAGGCGACGTGAAGCGGACGTCGAAAGAGGTACTTGTGTGATGGTAACGTGGGAAGATTTCAAGAGAGAAATCAAGAGGCAGTTCTACCCAGAGAACGTGGAGTTCGAAGCCCGTTCGAAGTTGAGAAGACTCACCCAGAGGGGTGGAGTTCGAGAATACGTGAAAGAATTCTCGGAGCTGCTTCTAGAGATCCCGGACATCACGGACAAGGAGGCCATGCACGGCTTTCTTGATGGGCTGCAACCATGGGCCAAGATGGAGATGCAACGTCGAGGAGTGCAAGACCTTGCAACTGCCATGGCCATGACAGAGTCTTTTGTCGAGTACTAAAGGCAAGAGAGCAGCGGCAAAGAGAAGAGTTTGAAGCCTAACAAGGGTGGAGAATAGCAGAAGCCTTTCAAGGAGGGTTCTCGCACTCAACAACACCAAGGTGGTTCGAGCAAAGGGGGTAAGTACGAGCCAAAACCCATGACTTGTTTCCTTTGCGACGGACCACATCGAGTGCGGGATTGCCCAAGGAAGGCGAGATTGGCGGCCATGGAAGCTCAAGATGAGGAGCCCAAGGCGGCGGAGGCCAAGATTGGCTCAATCCGCAAGCTTGGCGCGGCGAAGACCGACGTCAAGGAGAGCAAGCGTGGGAGGTGCTATGTTCTGGCGCAATTCATGCAAGGCGAGTCAAAAGCCTTGGTGGATACCGGTGCCTCGGACAACTTTCTTCGCATCGAGGAGGCAAACCGGCTGGGTATTGCCTATGAGAAGGGGCAAGGGAGGCTCAAGACGATCAATTCGGAGTCCATCCCGATCCATGGAGTTGCTCACAACGTACCAATGAAGCTTGGCGAGTGGGAAGGCCTCATCGACTTTTCCGTCGTCACCATGGATGATCACCCAGTCATCCTCGGCATCAACTTCCTCGACAAGGAGGGAGTGCTCTTGAAGCCCAACTCCAACACGATGTGCTTGGAGAAGGAAGGGGAGTTTCATGCGGTCCATCTCTTGAGAGAAGATGGTCCCCATAGTGCTCTATCCGCTATGCAAGTGGTGAAGGGGTTCAAGAAGAATGAACCAACCTTTCTTGTGTCCTTGAAAATGGAGGAAGAAGGAGGCTCAACGGGAATCCCAACTCCCATCATTGAAGGCGTCCTCGAAGAGTTCGATGACGTGATGCCATCGGAGTTTCCCAAGAAGCTGCCACCAAGAAGAGAGGTGGACCACAAGATCGAGTTGGAGCCAGGAGCGAAGCCCCCTTCGCGAGCACCATACTGCATGTCGCCACCGGAGTTAGAAGAATTGCGGAGGCAACTCAAGGACTTGGTGGACGCAGGCTACATGCGGCCATCGAAGTCAACTTTTGGAGCACCGGTGCTGTTCCAAAAGAAGAAGGAAGGGTCGTTGCGGATGTGCATTGACTATAGAGCCATCAACAAGTTGACGGTGAAGAACAAGTGGCTGATTCCCAACATTGCCGACTTGTTCGACCAGCTTGGAGATGCGATGTGGTTCACCAAGCTAGATCTTCGCTCGGGCTACTATCAAGTGCGGATAGCAGAGGGCGACGAGCCAAAGACGGCTTGTGTGACGAGGTATGGCTCTTACGAGTTTCTTGTGATGCCATTCGGTCTCACCAATGCACCAGCCACATTTTGCACTTTGATGAATCAAGTGTTCGAGCCATTCTTGGACCGGTTTGTCGTGGTCTACTTGGATGACATCGTTGTGTATAGCAAAACACTCGATGAGCATGCCGAGCACCTACGCCAAGTCTTCCAAGTCCTTCGCGACAACGAGTTGTACGTCAAGAGGGAAAAGTGCACATTTGCCGCCACGGAGGTTCCATTCTTGGGGCACGTCATTGGTGGAGGCAAGTTGAAGATGGATGGAGTGAAGGTGCAGGCAATCCAAGAATGGGAGCCGCCGACGAAGGTGCCAGAATTGCGGTCATTCCTCGGCCTTGCCAACTACTATCGGAGGTTTATCAAGGGCTACTCCAACATTGCAGCACCCTTGACGGATCTCTTGAAGAAGAACAAGGCGTGGGATTGGTCGGAAAGGTGCCAAGAAGAATTCGAGGCCTTGAAAGCAACGGTGATGAAGGAGCCCGTGCTCGTGCTCCCCAACCCGATGTTGGCCTACGAAGTGCAGACCGATGCGTCCGACTTCGCGATTGGAGGAGTGTTGATGCAAGATGGGCATCCCATTGCCTTCGAGAGTCGGAAGCTCAGCGAGACGGAGAGGCGATACACCGTTCAAGAGAAGGAGATGACGGCCGTGGTGCATTGCTTGCGCATATGGAGGCACTACTTGTTGGGGTCAAAGTTCGTAGTGAAGACGGACAACGTGGCAACGAGCTACTTTCTGACGCAGAAGAAGCTCACCCCTAAGCAAGCGAGGTGGCAAGACTTTTTGGCCGAGTTCGACTTCGTTATGGAGTACAATCCAGACAAGGCGAATTCCGTTGCCGATGCTCTTAGCCGCAAGAGTGCAGCCGCAAGCATCAGCCAGCCCACGTTTCCTTTGAAGGAGCGGATCGTTAAAGGCCTTGGCCATGACCCCTTCGCCAAAACCGTAGCGGAGTACATCGAGCAAGGTAAAACTCGGCGGTTTTGGATGAAGGATGGGCTCATCATGACCAAGGGAGAGCGGGTGTTCGTGCCAAGATGGGCCAACTTGAGGAAGGAGATCATGAAGGAGTGCCATGATTCCAAATGGGCGGGCCATCCCGGCATCGAGAGAACGCAAGCGCTCATCGAAGAAGCATACTTCTGGCCGCGTATGAGAGACGACGTGGAGATGTATGTGAAGACTTGTCTTGTGTGCCAACAAGACAAGATAGAGCAGAGAAGCCCGGCAGGCTTGCTAGAGCCCTTGCCCACGCCTCAACGACCATGGGAGAGTGTAAGCATGGACTACATCATCGGACTTCCCAAAGTCGATGGATGCGGTTGCATCATGGTTGTGGTGGACAGGTTTTCGAAGTATGGAGTGTTCATTCCTGGGCCAAAAGACTTGACGGCAGAGGATGCGGCACGTCTATTCTTCAAGAACGTGGTCAAGTATTGGGGCATTCCTAGCAGCATCGTGAGCGACAGAGATGGGCGCTTCACGGGCAGATTTTGGCGAGAGTTGTTCAAGATCATGGGCTCAAACTTGAACTTCTCGACGGCATTTCATCCTCAAAGCGACGGACAGACGGAGCGGGTGAATGCTTTGTTGGAAGTGTACTTGCGGCACTACGTGAGTGCAAACCAACGAGATTGGGTGAAGTTGATGGACACGGCACAGTTCTCCTACAACTTGCACCGCAGCGAGTCTACCAACACGAGTCCATTCGAGTTGGCGACGGGGCAGCAACCTTTGACACCTACGACGGTGGCAACAGGGTATAGAGGCAACAGTCCAGCGGCCTACAAGTTCGCTAAAGGCTGGCACGAGAAAATGGAGATGGCCAAGTCTTACTTAGCCCGCGTTAGTAATTAGATGAAGAAATGGGCGGACAAGAAGAGGCGGCACTTGGAGTTTGAAGAGGGAGACATGGTGATGGTCAAGTTCTACCCTCATCGCTTCAAGCATCTCAAGAACGTGCACAAGAGACTGCTTCACCGCTATGAAGGGCCATTCCCCATCGTGAAGAGGATTAGCAAGGTGGTATACAAGGTAGAGTTGCCGACGCACTTGGAGATCCATCCGGTCTTTCATGTGAGCCAACTCAAGCCTTACCACGAAGACAAGGAGGACGAGCAACGAAGAGAGTCGCAGCGCGCTCCAACACTCGTCACCAAGACACACGACCATGAAGTCGAAGAAATCATGGCGCGTCGTGTCATTCCTCGTCGTGGCGTACATCCAAGCTTTGTGGAGTACTTAGTCAAGTGGCGCAACTTTCCGGAGAGTGAAGCAACCTGGGAGAAAGAGCTCACGCTTTGGAAGAACAAGGACTTGATCGAGACATTCCATCAAGAGGGCGCGACGAGGGCGTCGCGAGCATAGGTGGGGGAGGATGTCACATGTGGCAGATGACATGGCGCCAACAAGGTGACAACATGGCGGCTGCACATGTGGCATGCATGGAAGACTAGTAGCATAGAGATGCTCCTAGGATTCTCCACCTAAATGAGAGCTTAATGGTGCACTTATGGGCTACATTATGGGTATCATTATTAGAGTGCATTATGGGGGGACTTTATGGGGTGTATTGATGTAGAGGGACCATTATGAGGGGCATTGATGCCTTGTATGAGGAGAGGCCTATATAAGGAGCCATCTCCCTCACTTGTAACTCATTCCATCATTTTTGAGAGTAATACACACTAGAGAGTTCTCCCAATCCTTTGTCTTTGCTCTTGTCTTTGCTTGCTTGTGAGTTTGAGAGAAAGGCTGCCTAGCGCTCTAACGGAATTGAGAGCTAGGGCCGCACGATCGAGAGTAAGGTCGTGACATGCCTGACAGGCTATTAGGCTCACTGATATTTGAGACAACAGGGAATTCAGTAGCTAGCTCACCATATTCTTCAAATCAGTTTGATAGTGAAACAGTTAGTTCCATGAGCGACAGCCAGGAGCAACTCAGCTCTGCACAGTCTCTCTCTGGATTCAGCCAATCTGGGGGTAACTCTTCTTCTGAATCCAACAGTAACTTCCATCGTTCCTCGCGAACCAGTCTCCAGCTCTTTCCTTGTTCAGAATCTACCTCGCAAGATGCGCGTTCTAGCCCTGACATGAAACATGTGTTGGAGCAATTGGAGACTGCTCTCATGGGACCTGACGAGTACATGGCTGAACCTAGTGATTACCACGGTGAAAGTGGTCAACCACAGACACCGGCTCATGAGACTAGGGCATGGAGCCAAGAGGACCAGCACCAGGGTTCTCATGTCATCCAGCCTCAGCCCATGTTCATCTCACGCCCCCGGCAATCAGAAGAGGAAGCAACTTTACAAAGTTCTCAACCCAGCAATTTGGAGAAATTGTTGATTGCCTGTGCCAAGGCTCTTGCTGAAAACAACATGACTAGTTTTGAATGCCTTCTGGAGAAGGCTAGAGGTGAGGTCTCCATCACAGGGGAACCAATCCAGCGCCTTGGTGCCTACCTGGTAGAGGGGTTGGTGGCAAGGGAGCAATCGTCAGGAAATAAAATCTACCGTTCCCTCAAGTGTAGGGAGCCCGAAAGCAAGGACTTGCTATCTTACATGCAGGTTCTGTATGAAATCTGCCCTTACCTCAAGTTCGGTTATATGGCAGCCAATGGAGCTATTGCTGAAGCTTGCAGGAATGCCACGCAGATACACATAATTGATTTCCAGATCGGTCAAGGGACACAATGGATGACCCTTCTTCAGGCTCTAGCAGCCAGACCAGGGGGAGCTCCACATGTGCGTATCACGGGTATTGATGACCCTCTCAATAAGTATGCTCGCGGTGGGGGTTTGGAAGCAGTTGAGAGGAGATTGGCAGCACTCTCTGGGAAGTTCAACATCACAGTGGAGTTCCAAGGCCTGCCAGTTTTTGCCCCAGATGTAACCAGAGAGATGCTTGATGTCCGGCAAGGTGAGGCATTGGCTGTGAACTTGCCGTTGCAGCTGCACCACACTCCAGACGAGAGTGTGATGTAAACAACCCTAGGGACGGGCTTCTTCGAATGATTAAGTCCCTCAATCCCAAGGTCACTACTCTAGTGGAACAAGAATCGAACACCAATACGACTCCTTTCCTGAACAGGTTTGTGGAGACTCTGGAGTACTATTTGGCCATATTTGAGTCGATTGATGTGACCCTTGCAAGGGACAGGAAGGAGCGTATTGGGTTGGAGCAGCATTGCTTGGCTAGGGACATGGTGAATGTGATTGCATGCGAGGGGAGGGAACGGGTGGAGAGACATGAACTGTTCGGGAAGTGGAAGTCTAGGTTCACAATGGCTGGGTTTAAGCAGTACCCTTTGAGCTCCTATGTCAATTCCGTGATCAAGAGCTTGCTTAAGTGCTACTCCGACCATTATACTTTGATTGAGAAAGATGGAGCCATGTTATTGGGTTGGAAAGACAGAAACCTGATCTCTACTTCCGCCTGGTACTAAGCTAGGTGCTGAATGTCTTCTTTTTCCCAACTAAATGTAGACTAGTAAACTATAGTTCCATTCAAGTATTCATACTGTATTGTGTAGAAAGGAGCTGGCAGCCTGGAATTTGTCCTAGTTTTTTTTTTTTTTTTTATCGTTGAATTTGTCCTAGTTTTATGTTGTAGAGATACCATTTATTTGTAGCAACTATATATCTATCTTTAAGAGGACTGTGAAATGAGATCCATTCCACATTTGCACTGGAGAGATGAATAAAGCAGAGAGCTTCACGTGTACTGTACACTCATAAACTGTCAGAAAACCATTACATATAAGCAGAGGAAGGTTTTCTTTATGAATTAAGCAGAGGAAGTTCTTCAAAACATCGAAAGGAAATTACAAAAAGAGAGCAAGCAATAAACTGAGGTGGTGGAATCTGAATCGTAGGGTAGGATGCAGAATTTGGCAACCATCTTCATCTTGGAGAAACCAAATTTCTTGAAGAGGTCCTGCTGCTGAATCGGGTCGCTGGTGGGGAGACCCATCTGCTTCTGGCGATCGTCAAACATCATCTTCTCCACCTTCGATCTCATCTCTGGATCCAGATCACTGAGCTGGCACCTCTACGCCCACAAAATGCCGCCTCCGCCCCGAAGAAGAATAAGCAGGTCAAAGGAGTTTTTTGTTCCAAAGTTACGAGGAAATGTTCGTTAATCTGTTTGTTTCTTGAAGTTTGTGCTCGTACTGTGATGGCTGTGTTTGTATGGAAGTGCCATGGAAATGAGTTGGGATACTATGGCAATGCAGGCAACCAAATATTAGTTCGACAGAAAATAAATTCGGGTTACTTAAAACAAATCCTTGAATCGATTGGTTCATTGTTGGACTAATGATTTGACCGTCCTACAAATCATGAATGGATTACAATGAAGACATGTTCAATTGCTCAATAGGGACAACAAAAACAATTCATCCAAATATCAACAGCTCGAAATTGACAGAGACTGCGTGTTGACTATTAAAAGGGAGACTGTAGCTACTATTCGCAGTAGCAGTTGAACCTGTTCTAGAGGACAAATTGATTTGTATAACAGGACAAATTGATAACAGAACAGTGAGAAATATCCATTCACGAGATTAGTACGGATTACAGAACACCATGAACAATCCATAGATTGTCATTATCATAATCAGTCACGAAACATAAACAACCACTGATAGAAACAAGCAAATAACTAGATAAAGCCTCCATTCCATTTTCCACTGCTAGCTGCTCAAGCTGAAGCAACCTTGGCGGCATGCTTATCAATGGACATCAGCAATTCGTCCTTCTTGGCACCCACAACCTTGTCCACGATCTTGCCTTCCTTGAAGAAGATAAAGGTCGGCATGGCCTCCACTTCATACTCCTTAGAAACAGCCTGCAAAAGCGAACATCACACACATATCCCGAGTTCAGACTTCCGGAGTTGGTTCGAAATTGTATTGAAGTTGTGGTTCATGTTAAGGATACAACAGAATGAATTTCATGATAGGTTCGTAGGAGTTGGGTTTTATTATAGTACTCACCCTCAGTTCATCCACATCAACCTTGAGGAACACGACGTGAGGCATCTTCTTGGCGACATCTGCCAGAATTGGCGCAATGAAACGGCATGGCCCGCACCAAGAAGCAGTGAAATCCACCACAGCCTGGCCGAAAAAGAAACAATTAATTTAAGTGCCCAGGAGAAAAGATTGAAACTTTTTGGAAGAACTGATAAGAACCCTAAGAACCCAGATGGCCAAAGTGAAAATCAATCAATTTGGAGACGAAATCAGCAGTTTTCACCGAATGCGCAACGAGAATACAAAGAATCCGCATAAAAAATTCGAAGCCAAGCCAAACATCTAGGTCAAATTCTTACGAACAAATAGGTTTCTAGCGATAGTATTAACCAATTAGATCTGCAGAAAGCTTGAGAACACAGACGGGATCATATAAATTTACCAGTTTCTTGGACTCTGCAGCCTTGGTGAAGTGTTCCTTCCAGACCTCGACGGTGTGGCACCCAATCACTTGTCCTTCTTCCGCCATTCTTTCTTTCTTTCTTCTGAGCTTAGTAGAAAAAGATGTTCCTTTTGGCGTTTGTTCTACGAGAATTGATGATTCACAAAATCGCTGGGGAAAGGGATGTTTGGCTTGACGCTGACCGATCCGTTTATATAGTGAGCCTGGCTGTGCGATTTACAGATTTGTACTCCGGATGAGATGTTAATTACAGGGGTGTGCCATTTTTAGATACGCGCCGAAGGAAGCAGATGTGATGCGTTTCAATACGTCACGGGGCATACACGCGCTTACGATGCCGTGGGAATCTGGTGCCGCCGGCTCGGGTATGAACGGCGGAGTTTTAGATAATCTCGGCGACGGCGGGCTTTCTTGATTGGCGCGTGGGTTGTAACGCAAAGTTTAGATTTGCTGCTTAGCCGACTGAATTCTTCCCAGTTCCCACGTGTGGATATCGCTCCAGCTGCCCCGATAGTTCCGTCATGGGCTGGGCCTTTGGGGAATTCATTCAATGCGGCTGGATCTGGGCTTTTGGCAGATCAATTGCAAAGTTCACGTTTAAATTGGACTCCAGGATAATGGGTTGGGTTTTGTATATCCAAGTCTACTTCGTCGGTGTTTGGTGAGTGATTGTAGCTCAAGATTTGGCCAATTAGCTAGATTATGATGAAATTTCATTTCAGTTTATTATTTTGTTATGATTATCAGTTGAATATTTATGTGATTTTTGAACAATTACTAGTAGTAATTTTGTAAGATAAATAATGCCTATACTTTATGTATTAAACGTTGTTTAGTTTGGAGATAAATTTCATATTACATTTCGAACAATGTGAATTATGTGATACATTCAATCACTCATTATCTGCAATCACTCAACTTAACCCACCCACAGTCACATACATGAGTGGCTGTGGAACATTTTCTCCTTCACCCATCACGTACCAAAATTCATGTAAAACCACCCACTATTTATCCCTACTTAAAGATAAAAAGATATTTATCGCTTATTGGTTTGATCTTTAGTGTGATCGATACAACAAATTTTTCTTTGTTTCTCTCAACATTGACTGCTTGGAGGAAATCGTACCAGATCGCATAGGAGTGGTCTGATATGAACCATATAATATTTGGTCTAACCTATAATATGTGCTCCAGCCCTTTGATACATATCATATGCTTCCCTCCCTATTTAGTGTTGGCGAGGCAAAATAACTCATCACCCTAGGTATCTAACCGAATTCGAATCAATTTTTTCGGGGAATATCTGACCAATATTCTCTTTGGGTGGGTGTTCTCCGAACCCGACAAAGAGAGTAATGAGTTTGGTGCAGTTTTGGTATTTTAAGTATCCACATTTACCCACCCGAATATGTGTTATAACTATGTTCTATAGTCACTCGCTTATATGCTTTGTTCATCCATATTACTCAAACATTTAATTATATTTTACATCCCACATTGTTTTGGTTAAGTGGATGGTTATGATTTTAAAACCGTAATTCGAGAATAGTATATAGGAAAACCGGCCCGACCCAAACTTGTTGCCATCCTAGGCGAGTGTGAATGGATAGTTGTTAAAAACGACTAGAAATTTAAAACTTCCCACCGATTGGATGGCTATTGTCCATAAGTTTTTAGATTTTGTGATTCACCTAAATTCGAAAATCTCACATTTATCTCCTAAAAGAAAGGAAAAATTCAACTGTATAGCCATAATCATTGACTTTCTGACAATAATAGCCAATTTTTGAGAAATACAGAAAAAGTTCAACTTTTGGAAATATATTTGACAAATTTAACCACTTTCATTAAAAAATTTAATGTCGTTCGAGATTTCGTAAGTTACATTAACAAGACGTTGATGAGGATACCATATTGATGCACATGTCAGCGACAACTCGACATGCCATAGCACGAGGGCGCCACATCATACTTTAATGGCAAAATACACTTGTATAGGCTTACTATCGATTTTGTGACAATAATAAACAATTGCATGAAGTTCTTTTAAATGATGACAAGACTTACGTTTTTGCTGATTTTGTGTCACTTAATATAAAATATTGTCGCGTGGAATTGATTAAAAAACACAAAAAATAAAAGATAAGTAAAATAAAGCGAAATGGTCATCCACCTCCAATTTGCCCCAGCCCCTTCTCCTTCCTCCAATCACACGCCTCTACCCCTTTTCACCTTCGTCCATCGTTTGTGATTGGTGGCTCCAACCAGGTCTTCCTCTATTGTTACTAGAGAACAGTTGGGGAGAGGCAAAGTTGCTCTTATGGTCTCCACCAACAGCGGAATCCCAACTTATTCCACGAGAAACGGGTGCAGCGGGGAAATGTATTTTGCTAGAACGTCAGAGAATCAAGCGGTCATGGACGCCGAGAAGTGTATTTTCCAGTGTTATTAGAACTGGGTAGTTATCATAAATGGTTACAAAACTATTCACTTTGTACAAAACGGTAACAAACCTTTAATTTTGCACATTTCAGTAACATATGTTTGGACTAATAACAAAAAGGTAATTCCGTCCATCTCCATCCAAAATTCTGTTAATTTGGTCTAGTCAATTGTCCCGTCAGCATCCACATCATCAAAATAATTAATAAAAAATAAAATAAAACCAATTAAAACCTAACCAACCAACCCACCACCCCAACTCGACCCAACCCAACCCCTTCATCTCTATCTCTTCTCCCTCCCCTGTATAAAAGCGGAGAGCCCCATTGAAGTTTTCCCAAATCAAAGTTAAAGACCCCTGGCCAAGGATTGAATCGAGCTTGGAAGTTTTTATATGCCACGCATCACCCCAGCTCCAAGGCACCTATCTATCTATGGCGTGGTCTGTTAGTCTTCTCGATAACTAGAATTTCGCTTTCCACCGAACATGACCTGGATTCATTGATCTCAGGGGAGTCTTCATCTAATTTCTTGCTTGCTAGGTATTGCGCTTGTTTTCCTTTTGCTTCCAAGGGTCAGCTCGAAGGAACTGTCCTTCATTTTGTTGAGCGACTAACAAAAGCCCTTGATGTGTGGAATACTTTTGTGTCGATCACAGAACCCCAGAAACTGGTAATCGAAATGCATAGTCTAGAACAAGAAATCCTTACCGGGTTGCTAGTAAATACTATAAAGATTAAATCTTTATAATTGGTGGAACCACAGGGAAAGTGGGGGAAAGGAACAGAAGTAACCATGGTGGACGATGATTCCTTTTGGAATACTTTTCCCATGCCTCAGTAATAAGTACCCAGTATCTGTTCCTCCACAATGCCGCCAGCGATACCGCTTCCTTCTCCTTCGTCCAAGTCAGTCGTTTTCTGATTCTCCCTCCGGCGGTCGCCTCCTCCGATCCGGACTCCGTCGCAGCCGGCAGTAAATGTATTCGAGGTGGATTGGCGGAAGAATACATCAGCCGCCAACAACCAACGGATGGGCGGAAGTTTTTCTGCAGATGGGTGGTGCGAGATGGTTGCAGAGAGGGAAAGGAGGTATGGAAGAATGGGTTGGGTTGGATTGGGGTGGTGGCTTGGTTAGGGTTTAATTGATTTTATTTTATTTTTTATTAGTTATTTCGATGATGTGGATGTTGACGGGATAACTGACTGGACCAAACTAACAGAAATTTGGATGGAGATGGACGGAATTACCTTTTTGTTATTAGTCCAAACATATGTTACTAAAACGTACAAAAATAAAGGTTTGTGACCGTTTTGTACAAAGTGAATAGTTTTGTGACCATTTAGGATAACTACCCTATTAGAACTCAACTACATGTTTTAAATGTAACCACATAACTTCGACCCCATCCGTTAATTTGGTCCCGCATATTGTTTTTTTTTTTGTGGTGTGAATAGAAATGCAGGAAAAATACTTAAAATAGCCAAGTCAAAGTAGTTCACTTGTGCCATATTGATGAAATGTGGAATTGAAATTGATTATTTAACTTAAGAAGTCCACTTGGGCTACTAAAAGTAGCCTAAGGAGATGGACCATAATGCCTTTATTGTTACTTGCTTTGGTTTTTTTGTTGGAATTAATTTGATTTGATTATATTTTTTGTACCTAGTCAGATTGGTTTTTATAACCAATCAAAACTGAAACCATTTATTGTCGAACAGATGCAGTGGTTGGCTTATACCCATCTGATCATACTGCAATAGCTAAATGCCTAAATCGATGCAATGGTTGACTCCCTCTCACCCTACCTCTTTGTTCTTAGTATGGAACGCTTGTCTCATAAAATTGACCAGGCCATCGAGGAGAAAAGATGGAAACCTCTGACTTTTTCTCCCGGTGCTCCAAAGCTCTCACACCTCTTTTTTGCAGATGATCTCATGTTGTTTGCTGAAGCTGGGCTAAGTCAGATAAGGACAATCAAGTAGTGTCTGGAGGAATTCTGAAGTAGCTCAGGACACACTACAAGAAAACTCATTTATAGTGGTTAAGAAAATTTGCCTCTATAATTAACTTATTTGCCTCTATATGTATCTAGAGGCAGATGATACTTTTGCCTCTAATACTCCAGTGGCTATAGTCCTATAGAGGCAAATATAGTGGCAAATAATATATGCTTCTAATTAGAGATATAACGACTAACATTTGAGCCGCAGATACCAATTTTATGGCCACAAAATTTTGTCTCTAAAATGCATTTTAGCGACAAACATTTTTGTTTCTAAAAATAGAGTTTATGAGGCATAAAAATCTGCCTCTGTTTGTGTTTGTAGAGGCAAATAATATTCTACATTGAAACTTATTTTCAATTTAGGTACATTATTTATAAAATTAATTATTAGAAATGAAGATTTTATTCATTTGGAATCATGAAATTCCCAAGGGGAATCAGAGTACATGATTTTCCCCCCGATGAATAACTAGCAGTACATTCTGAAACACATAGAATCGATTATTGCCAATGCAAGAACACTATTTGTTGAACCAACCTCAACTGGCTTCGTCAAACTATCAGCTGCTCTCCACTTCAACCTGCACCAAAAAAGTCAAATGAATATTGAAATCAGTTCCACAAAATGCGAACACTGTCAAGGGTAAATATGTTTACCAAAAATCACAGATCTACTCAAACAATAACCTGATACCTTAAGGGGTAACTGATCTGGGGATTGCGCGATCGAACTCTTGCAAATCTGGCGATTGCGAACTGAGAGAGTACTTTTCTTCTTCAATTCGGCATGATGTTAGCACGAAAGACGAGGAATATGTGGCAGGGAGATCGATTGAAGTAGCCTGAAAATGACGGATTCGATCTCGATGTTTTTATTGAGTCTGGATCGGCGGTGCCGCTCGACGGCGACTATGATTACCCAACTCGACGGCGGCGATGGAAGCAAGAGGGTGCTGCCGATTGTTCTTTCATGAGATAGTTGGAAGATGGATATGGGTTTGAAGAGAGTGAAAGAGGATGATGATTGATGGGTATCGACAGTGGGAGAAGGAAGCGGAGAGTAGAGATGGACGGACGTAGTGTGAAGGGAGAGGAAAGAGGGATTTGGGATGTCAAAAATCTTCATATCCCAACCTTTCCTTTTCTTCTTATGATTACAACCTTCCTTTTTAAAAAAAAACTACAACCTTTCCTTTTTATCTCCCCAAGAGTTATTATAAACTTGCGCAGCTAGTCTTTTTAAAGTGATTTATATGAATATTTAAGTGATATATTAGCTATAGCAACAAATACTAACCATCTATTGAGGCAAAAAGATTATTCGTGGCTACAAATAATTGGGAGTTGCATAATTTTATAACTATAGAGTCTATAAAAAAACTATAGAGGCAAATTATATATTAGTAGTATATCTACTACCTTTAGGGGAACATAATAGAACCTATTGAGGCAAATTGTATATCCGTTGAATATAGTATACTTCTAGAGGCAAATACAATACTTGCCTCGACAATTAGCCACTATATATAGGTATTCTTGTACTGACAAAAGGTGAATCTCCAGAAGTTGCTAATCTATATCTTGCCTAACGTATCTGTCGCAAACGGTTCGTCCGCGACGCGGCGCGAAAAAGAGGAGTCGCCACCAATCTCTCAAAGTGGATTGGACACTTGGGAAGTCAAGCATAAATCGGTTACGATTTAGGCTCGGCGCGGTCTGCGAAATAGATTTATGGGTTCGGGGGTCGGTTACGAGTAAGGAAGGTATTAGCACCCTTACATCGCCCTAAGTCGGTACTATAAGTTTGATTTGTCTTCTTAATTGATAATTGCTTGTTTGAAATTATTTGGATTTACATCGAATATGTGATGTCATTTTTTTTACATATATTACATGTTCATCAACATGTAATTACGTTGGAAGAATTAATATACGTTTTTGTTAATTTTAGGGAGAAAAGGGTTTTATTTATTAGTGGACTTGGACCCGTAGGCCGCCTACGTACCCGACATCTCAGGATCAAAGCCCTCGTAGTTCGCAGGACATTTAGTTATTTTAAAACGTTTGCTTACGACCCATCGGTACGTAATGGTTTCTTAATTTGATGACGATCCATCGATCGTAATTTGTTTGAGATAAATTAAATGAATATTGATTACGTACCCATCGGCACGTAATAGTTTATTGATTTGAACACAATCCTTCGATAGTAATTTGTTTAAAAGAGGTTAGGTGATAAGTTGATCATGTACCCATGGGTAATGATTTAATTGGGTAATTTGATAAAATAATATTTTAGGAGTTATGTGGACTTGAACCTTTCGGTCGTCTACGTACCCGACATCTCGGGATCAAAGTCCGTGTAGTTTGATTGTTTTGATTTACTTATATTGATTTTAGTATAGAAATCAATTAAACTATAATGGTAAAATTAACAATATATTAGTTCTTTGGCTGAGTGTTTAACACCTTGGTTTGGTGTTTCCAAACTTAGATCGAACTCATGGTGACAATTAGTAAATGCTTCATTTTGTCATATTTTGAGAAAAGGGTGGTTACTTCGCTGACTTAGAAAGCTGGGAAACCAAAACAATAATTTTCCTATGGTATTTCGGTTATTTACTAGGTTGCGGGGCTAGTGACTAGTGTAGTACTTTTGAAATTAAGAGAAATTGGTCAAAATCCCTACCTCTAGTCCGACGCGGAGAGAGCAGTCCAGAGCAATAATCAAGATTTCCCCCTCCTCTTTCTTGTGCAACGACGACGAGTAGTGGTGGTAGCGTCGGTCCATGAGCCTGGGGATGGACCGCCGACACGGTGGCTGGCGATGATGGCGGAGGTGGCTGGTGGTGCTGAGCAGATCGAGGGCGGCGGACTCGGGAGAAGAGAGTTGCGGCAGTGATCGACGGGGGAGGTCTTTCCCCGCTAAACAGACAGTGCGCAGACCGGCGACTGCGGAGATGCGGCAGTGGAGCTATGGCGACGGCCACAGTCGGGAGAGAAGCTCAAAGGTGGAAGTGGCGCGGATAGTCGGTTGCAGCGGCGGAGTTTGACGGCTGCCGAGGGCGGAGGGGAATAGCGGTGATGGCGGTGTGGTGGTGCTCCGGTGAGTATAGTTTCTTTGTATTTATTTATTGGGATTTCCTGATTGCAGAATAAGGTGTGTGGGTTGTATGAATCTGTGCATTTTTATGGGAAGGATTCGATGGATGGATGATTCGGTGGAAGGGTGTTTGGATTGTTGTTTGTTTTTGTGTGTCGGCTGAAGAGAAATGGCATAATTGATTTTCTGGAATGGAATTGTAATAGAAGATTGAACACAACTGCCGATCTCCCCCTGTTCTTCTAACCTTGCTGCCCCTTTTATAGAAACCAGGAAAACTATCTCACACACTCACCTCCTTCAATGACGACCTAACTCCCCATCTCTTCCTTCAATTTCTTTGTAACCAGATCCACTTTCTCTTCCATTCCATTTATTTCTCTGTCTTTTACAACTCATGAAAGGATGGAGCCTAGTATTTCTCTGTTTTTGCAAACAATGAGGCGATGATGGAGGAGCAGAGGAGGAGCGGGTCTGGTCTGGTGAACCAAACCGATTTGACCTAACATGCGGACTGCTGGGTCACAACCGTGGGCTATACCCCTTTTTTGTTATTTCTCTTTTGTTTTATTCTTTTTTATGGAATGGGCTAGAAGCCCAAATGTGTATAAGAAAAGCTTGTAATGGATCGGCCAATAGTACGAGCAGCTAAAACAAGTCCAAAAAGTCGAATCAAGAAGAGTATATGAGAACATTTTGTATTTTAATTTTCTAATGAAATTTGAATTATTCGTCGAATCCCAAATGAAATTATTTAGTTTGGGAAAATCCGGATAAAAATGGGTGTCAACAGTATCGAGAGAGACTACAGTGGCCTACAACATCCGGGCAGGAATTCCGTTGACCTTGGACATTGGGAGATACTTGGGAGTGATGGCCATCAACTCTCGGCTGACGAAAGATTGGTCTCGGGACCTCGTACTGAAATTTCAGAAGAACTTCTCCATCTGGAAAGCTAAGAAACTTTCATTAGCCGATCGTTTGACAGTTGCATATTCAGTCTCTACTTCCATTCCTGTTTATGCTATGCAGACGAAGATGCTTCCAACCTCGGTCTGTAACGAGATTGATGGCATCAACAGAGCGTTCATCTGGGGAGACACAGAGAACAGAAAACATTCTCATCTCGTGGGATGGAAGAAACTGCTGGAACCAAAGGAGAATGGGGGCGCTAGTCTTTGCTCTCTCCGCCACACCAATTCGGCCCTTTTGGCCAAGAATGAGTGACAGGTTATGCAAGAGAAGGAGAGCCTCTGGACTCAAGTTGTTCACGGAAAGTACGAGGGTAACAAAGAAGGCCTGGCGATCTTCGATGGAAAACAGGGAAGTTCCTTTACCTGGAAAAGTATTACCAAAGCTGCTCTCATTCTGAGGAAAGGTTGCGCTTGGAACATTTCTAATGGAAAGGGTACAAAGTTTTGGACTGATGTGTGGGTTTTACAGGTCCCGCTCATGGAGGTGGCCTCCAATACAATCTTGGAGGAGGAAGTTCGGAAACCGGTTTCAGCTTACCTGGACAATGAGGGACTTTGGCGGGCTGGTCTCTTTCAGCATCTCCTCCCAGCAAACATAGTAGACAAAATCACGGCGGTGTCTACTGAACCCTTGAGCTTGGAGGATGACAAGCTTTGCTGGCAGCCAACTTCCAACGGAAGCTTCACAGCACGAACAACCTACCAATTGACATTTCCGCCCCCTCCGGCCACAAACACACAGCTATGGAAAGGAATTTGAAAATTACAAGTTTCGGAAAAAGTTAAACACTTCATTTGGCTCCTTCTTCTCCACCGCATCAATACCAACAAGAGAAGATTTGACAGACACATAGCCACAAACCCATTCTGCTCCAGGTGTGCTTCTGTCCCGGAAACTGAACTTCATCTGCTTAGGGACTGCCCGTCATCTCTGTTCTTTTGGGTTCGAGAGGTTCCCGAGGAGCAGACCCTGGACTTACTTAATGCAACCCTGGGGGTTGGATTTTTACCAAAGTACGCAGCAACACAATCAATCCAAGGATTGGATTGATTAAAACGAATTTCGAACCAATAACAAGTATGTTCTTGGGTGTTTGGATAAAACGGAATCAAACGTGCAATTCCACACCTGGGGAAAGGCTCGATTGATATAAGGATAGATGCCCGGCCACGATCAACGCGTTCTTGACCGATACAAGAGCTCAACGAGCTTGGAATCCACCAAAGCTCACACAAGTACGCAAACTTGCAAAAACCCAAAGGTTTCAATTCAATTCTTCAAAGTCTGAGTTTTTACAACGTAATAGAAGAGTATTTAAAGGCAAATAAACCTAATACAAACCTAATAGAACTAGGAAACAATTAAGGTAAAAATCTACTCTAAAAAGGACTCAAAATTCGGATTTAAACTCTCTTTCTTCAAGTGCAAGTAAGCTGCCAGCTAACAGTCAAAAGACAGCTTTCGTACTAACTTCGAGCCATTTGTTCAAAGCCTTCCCGAACTCCAATCCTTCATCCAATTCCTTCCCATTGTACATAAACATTCCTTTTTTCATGTTGTAGAAGCCTTTGGTCTCGAATCAGATCCATGTTCCTTGAATTGAGCTCCAAAGTAGGCTTCACAAAACAGTTTCCAGACTTAACCATTTTCTGGCAGTTTTCTAGTTTTGAGGTAGCAACTTTGAGGCCTTGGAAAACAACCTCAATGACATCATCTGGATCCACCAAGCATACCATTGGAAAGATGGTAACTTTATCTGCAAAAACAACCCTTAAAATAGAATTTCCACCAAGCCAATTGAGAGAACCATGCCTCCAAAGTATGTACCCTGAACACGGATTTTGACTTAGCCAAATTCTGCCTTTCTTCTTCCCAACTTTGATAGCTTTTTTGGCAAGTAATTGTGACTTGTAGAAGTGTCCAATTTGGATCATATCAGGCTCGCCCTCTTCAAAAAGCTTTGCCCTCAAAGCTTGTTCTTTCATCTTCTCAAAATCATCACAGAACTGATCCCAAATTGGATCGGAAGTGGACTGTTCAAACACAAGGTTCGGCAGAATTTTAATAACTTCAATGTCAGCTTCAATCTGTTCCAGCAGGTTTGGAACTTGCAGCGAGGTTAAGCACGCTTCCTGACATTGATTCGAACCTGTAGGAGTTACCAATTTCACCGAAAATCGATTGCCAAAATTCCCAGGTCGTCGGACGTCACTCTCATACATGTTCTTGCTCGAACGAATTGGGGGTTTTGAATTGAGGCATTCCCAATCCAATTCACCTATTCCACACGACTTGCCAGTCCTCCAATTGTAATTCTGGACCCTTCCCATAACTCGAATCATCAATGTCGTCGTCAAGTCGTCGATTTGCACATTCCCACCGTTAGCCGAATTTGAATTTCTGAAACCTAGAAAATCCAATTCGATATTGGGGGTTTGTGATTCAGACCTTATCGCGATGAATGGATTGATCGTACAGCTTCCTGGCATTTCCCTTGATGGTTCTACATCATCCAATTTGATCAAATCGACCTGGAACTCTCCAACCCATTCAGTCAATTGTTCTTTGTTCTTGAGCGTTTCCTGAGGAGTTCCAGCTCGAATTGGCTCCAACAATTGAACCTGATATGGCTCGACCAATCCCACGAAATCATTCCTGTATGTTGTTGGAATGTTTTTGTAGCAGAGGCTTCACACGTATCACCTTTCGTAGCCACGACGAGATCGTCGGTTTTGGCACTCTGCTCCTCTGGAAAATAGCAGAGTTGCGCCATTCCCGTCGACAGAGGAACTCGATTGCTTTTATCCTGCTCAGAAGCTGGCTCTCGATTCTTCGTCGTTCCTCCACCATCCAATGACGCTTTTATGGCCGCGTCGTGCGCCAACTCTCCTCCTTCGTCGCCGGCCAGGCTACACAACTCGGGACTCTGTTTTACCGAGACAAAACAGGGGTCGCCAACTCTGTTGGGCTGCCGCCCTCTATGTCTCTCCTGAGTAGTTAACATATAACGCCGAGGCATGAAAGTGACTCCGACCTCTTCCTCTGATTTCGTGCTAAGAGAATCATCACGTTCCTTGGCTCTGTTCAGCTCCATTTGGCGTTGGTCATCTCGAACCTCTTCCGGCGACAACGGTTTGAGCAGGAACCGTTTTCCTCCGTGTTGCACCTTGTAGCAATTTCTTCGGCCATCGTGAGATACGTTCCTGTCGAATTGCCATGGTCGGCCTAGCATGAGGTGCGCCACCTGCATTGGGGCAACGTCGCAAAGGATCTCGTCCTTGTATGACCCGAGTTCAAACGCAATGACAGCTTGCTTGGTGATTCTCACGTCGCCATACTCATTGAGCGAACACAGCGAATAAGGACGCTCGTGTTTCGTAGTGCGCAATCCAAGCTTTCTCACCGCCTCGACGCTGATCACGTTGCTGCAACTTCCAGCATCTACAACGACAGATAGCAACTTCCCTTCGACGAATCAGTGTGTGAAACAAGCAGTCCCTTTGCTCTATTTCTGTCTGAACTGCAGAAAGGGTGGGTACTTGACGAGCTACCGCGGGAGAACGACCTGTAGAACAAATCTCCTTCCCAACGAGCTGCTTATCACCCATGTTTGGTCGATTTTTCAATTACCTTGCCAGCACCAGCTCTCCCACGAAACAAAATCAAAACAGAGTCTGCTCCTCTCTGTTTGTCGATAGATTGCAAAATTTGTACGAGGCAATACAGATCCTCTTACCATCCTCCTCGCCCTTGCGTTGAACGGGGCTCTGATACCACTTAATGCAACCCTGGGGGTTGGATTTTTACCAAAGTACGCAGCAACACAATCAATCCAAGGATTGGATTGATTAAAACGAATTTCGAACCAATAACAAGTATGTTCTTGGGTGTTTGGATAAAACGGAATCAAACGTGCAATTCCACACCTGGGGAAAGGCTCGATTGATATAAGGATAGATGCCCGGCCACGATCAACGCGTTCTTGATCGATACAAGAGCTCAACGAGCTTGGAATCCACCAAAGCTCACACAAGTACGCAAACTTGCAAAAACCCAAAGGTTTCAATTCAATTCTTCAAAGTCTGAGTTTTTACAACGTAATAGAAGAGTATTTAAAGGAAAATAAACCTAATACAAACCTAATAGAACTAGGAAACAATTAAGGTAAAAATCTACTCTAAAAAGGACTCAAAATTCGGATTTAAACTCTCTTTCTTCAAGTGCAAGTAAGCTGCCAGCTAACAGTCAAAAGACAGCTTTCGTACTAACTTCGAGCCATTTGTTCAAAGCCTTCCCGAACTCCAATCCTTCATCCAATTCCTTCCCTTTGTACATAAACATTGCTATTTTCATGTTGTAGAAGCCTTTGGTCTCGAATCAGATCCATGTTCCTTGAATTGAGCTCCAAAGTAGGCTTCACAAAACAGTTTCCAGACTTAACCATTTTCTGGCAGTTTTCCAGTTTTGAGGTAGCAACTTTGAGGCCTTGGAAAACAACCTCAATGACATCATCTGGATCCACCAAGCATACCATTGGAAAGATGGTAACTTTATCTGCAAAACAAACCCTTAAAATAGAATTTCCACTAAGCCAATTGAGAGAACCATGCCTCCAAAGTATGTACCCTGAACACGGATTTTGACTTAGCCAAATTCTGCCTTTCTTCTTCCCAACTTCGATAGCTTCTTTGGCAAGTAATTGTGACTTGTAGAAGTGTCCAATTTGGATCATATCATTACTCACAGCAGATTTAGACCATTGGCTTCGCATGAACCTCCTTCATGCGAGGAGTGACAATTGTGGCGTCCCATGGTCTACGAAGTTCAACATTTCTCTTTGCACCATATGGAAGATCCGAAATGATGGAGTTTTCAGCAACGAGAGTAAGGCTCTATCACCGCACTCTCTTCGGCACGCCATACACATCAAGGTGAAGCTCTGGCATTTGGCATGGATGGCGCCTTCCCCACTGCAGCTTCGAGGCCAAAACAGGCCGGACAGGGTTGCGGCTGACATTGGGTGGGTCGCCCCTCCCCGAGGCTGGTGTAAGCTTAATATAGATGGTGCTTCGCAGGGAAATCAGGTAAAGCAGCTGTTGGTGGAGTTCTACGGGATGATCACAGTAGCTGTTCGGAGGCTTCGTTTACTTTATTGGTTGTTGTTCGGCGGTGTGTGCTGAGCTATGGGCCTTTAAGCAAGGCCTCGAGCTGGCATAGAGAAGAGGACTGAGGTAACTCATTGTGGAGACAGATTCCCAGTTGGCGATCTATCTTATTCAGAATAGGACAGATCAAGTTCACCCCCTAGCTTCGCTTCTGAACATTAATCGCAGGCTCTTGGCTCAGGATTGGCTGTTTAATGTAAGACATACATACTGTGAAGAGAATAGAGTCACAGACTGGCTCTCGAAGCACAGTCTCGTCTATCCCTAGGGTATGTATGAATTTGTTGACCCACCTACCCCTCTGATTAATATCCTGCAGGACAACGAGCGATGAGTTACCTTTCCTCGGAGCATCGTCAATCCTCCCCAGCCTCACCTGTAACCTCTCTTTCTTTTCTTGGCAGTCTGCGCCTACCTGTCATAAATATATATATATATATATATATATATATATGTATCCAATCCAATTGTCCCAATCAAATTAATACAAGTCTTTGAGTATAATTTCTCTGTCCAAATATTAGCAATATACTCGAACCATAGCATCACTTCATATTTACCCTTCATTTTCTATAAATAACACCAACTCTCTGTTTTATACATAAGTTTTGTAGCACCAAAACAACGTGAAATTCACCTTTGCATATGCTCCCAAGACCTTAAATGTATACCATTAGATCACAACGTCATGCACAGACTCCAAATTAAGATTTTGTACATCTGGTCACGAGCCATAATCGGAACAATTTAATCTTGATTGGGAACATACTTCTACTCTATTATTCACTTTCAATCCTTCCACCAAATTATGTTTATCAGAAAAAAAAGATTCACTTATCGATTGAATCGTAATAGATTCTTCCTCCATTATCTTTGAGGCCGACTAGATTCACTTCTCCATTGAATGATAAAAGATTCATATTAAAAGGATTAATACCCTAGTTTGGCCCGAAGTTTAGCGTAAATGACAGTTCTGGCCCCATTTTTCAAATAAGACATTTATGACCTACTTTTGAAAATATAGGACAGATTTGGCCCAAAACTGATATTGACTGTCAATATTAACGGTCAAACATTTATTCCGTTAATGACTCAACATCTAGTGCTGAGATGGCATTCACATCTAGTGCTGAGATGGCATCCACGTCAGTTATTAATTAAAAATGAAAAATGAAAAACAAATTAAAATAAATAAATCCTAAAATCTCTCGCTCTTCTCTTCCAAATCATTTTCCAATTCACCTCCCACCTGCCGAGCTTCGCTCTCGCCACTTCCTCTAAAACCTTGATGACTGGACCTTCATCTTCTTCCACTCTCTACGGTGTCATCCCCTTGGGCATTGAGAGTTCATCAAGACGGAAATACAGATCCGTCAACCCTTCCTCGTCCCTTCCAACTCCACCGCTGCAGCGGCCATCATTGTGCAAGTGGTGGCGGTTGCTTTCTCCCTCAGACTGATATGGAGGGAGGAACCCTAAATCCGCCCTCCAATCACCCATGGGTTTGTGGTCGGCGACAAGAAAGGCGTTGGCGGTTAAAGACGACAACGAGATACAAATAGAAAAGGGTCGGGAGGAAGAGGAGTGGGAGTGGCAGTGGTCATCGTCGGATTCGGGTCGTTGCCTCTGGCTGCTGCTTTGCCGACGATAGAAAAAGATTAGGGTTTGTGAAGAGATTGAAGACAATGGCGACAATTAATTTTTAGTGTTGCTGGGGTGAGTCGACGTTTGGATGATAGTTTTTGTGTATTGATTGACGAGAACACCTCTTTGTAATTGATTTTTTAGAATAAGATATGGATTTGGAAGATGATATAGAGAAGCCAGAGAGGAAGAAGAAAAAAGGGGAGAGGATCACATTGCCACCGTTCGACTCCCCATTTCATTTTTTAAATTTTTAAATTTTTTCTATTTCAATATATTAATTTTTAAATCATGTGGACTAGTCTAGTTAGCAGCATTATTAGGCCAAACACACAAAACAAAGAAGGCAGTAAGAAACCAAAATGAGAATGAGAAGAAAGATTTTCTTTCTTGCCTTTTCTCTTTCACTCACTTGCCCTACCAGGCTGTAGTCTCCCCTGTCTGTCTCCCTCTTTATATCCCCGGTCGGCTAACTTATTTATAAATGCCGTGACGTGACGAGGGTGAAGGTTATTATAGGGTTTTGGCGGTTTGCAAAATTTTGGAATGTGATATTTTGGCGGGAAGATAAATGAATAGGGCAGCATTGGGGAAGATGCTATTCGAGTCAAGTCTGTCTGGGAAATAAATAATGCATGGGACTGGGAGGGTAAGTGGGAAGAGAAATTGAAGAGGCTTCTGCTCTGCACCTCCCAATCCATGCATGCATAATGCATATTGAGAAGCCAACTGTCTTAATGAAGTTTAGAGTCGCGGACTGGCTCTCGAAGCACAGTCTCGTCTATCCCTAGGGTATGTATGAATTTGTTGACCCGCATACCCCTCTGATTAATATCCTGCAGGACAACGAGCGAAGAGTTACCTTTCCTCGGAGCATCGTCAATCCTCCCCAGCCTCACTTGTAACCTCTCTTTCTTTTCTTGGCGGTCTGCGCCTACCTGTCATAAATATATATATATATATATATATGTATCCAATCCAACTGTCCCAATCGAATTAATACAACTCTTTGAGTATAATTTCTCTGTCCAAATATTAGCAATATACTCGAACCATAGCATCACTTCATATTTACCCTTCATTTTCTATAAATAACACCAACTCTCTGTTTTATACATAAGTTTTGTAGCACCAAAACAACGTGAAATTCACCTTTGCATATGCTCCCAAGACCTTAAATGTATACCATTAGATCACAACGTCATGCACAGACTCCAAATTAAGATTTTGTACATCTGGTCACGAGCCATAATCAGAACAATTTAATCTTGATTGGGAACATACTTCTACTCTATTATTCACTCTCACTCCTTCCCCCAAATTATGTTTATCAGAAAAAAAAGATTCACTTATCGATTGAATCGTAATAGATGCTTCCTCCATTATCTTTGAGGCCGACTAGATTCACTTCTCCATTGAATGATAAAAGATTCATATTAAAAGGATTAATACCCTAGTTTGGCCCGAAGTTTAGTGTAAATGACAGTTCTGACCCCATTTTTCAAATAAGACATTTATGACCTACTTTTGAAAATATAGGACAGATTTGGCCCAAAACTGATATTGACTGTCAATATTAACGGTCAAACATTTATTCCGTTAATGACTCAACATCTAGTGCTGAGATGGCATTCACATCTAGTGCTGAGATGGCATCCACGTCAGTTATTAATTAAAAATGAAAAATGAAAAACAAATTAAAATAAATAAATCCTAAAATCTCTCGCTCTTTTCTTCCAAATCATCTTCCAATTCGCCTCCCACTTGCCGAGCTTCGCTCTCGCCACTTCCTCTAAAACCTTGATGACTAGACCTTCATCTTCTTCCACTCTCTACAGTGTCATCCCCTTGGGCATTGAGAGTTCATCGAGACGGAAATACAGATCCGTCAACCCTTCCTCGTCCCTACCAACTCCGTCGCTGCAGCGGCCATCATTGTGCAAGTGGTGGCGGTTGCCTTCTCCCTCAGACTGATACCAATCACCCCTGGGTTTGTGGTCGGCGACAAGAAAGGTGTTGGCGGTTAAAGACGACAACGAGATACAAATAGAAAAGGTTCGGGAGGAAGAGGAGTGGGAGTGGCAGTGGTCATCGTCGGATTCGGGTCGTTGCCTCTGGCTACTGCTTTGCCGACGACAGAAAAAGATTAGGGTTTGTGAAGAGATTGAAGACAATGGCGACAATTAATTTTTAGTGTTGCTGGGGTGGTTTGACGTTTGGATGATAGTTTTTGTGTATTGATTGATGAGAATACCTCTTTGCAATTGATTTTTTAGAATAAGATATGGATTTGGAAGATGATATAGAGAAGCCAGAGAGGAAGAAGAAAAAAGGGGAGAGGATCACATTCCCACCGTTCGACTGCCCATTTCATTTTTTAAATTTTTAAAATTTTTCTATTTCAATTTATTAATTTTTAAATCATGTGGACTAGTCTAGTTAGCAGCATTATTAGGCCAAACACACAAAACAAAGAAGGCAGTAAGAAACCAAAATGAGAATGAGAAGAAAGATTTTCTTTCTTGCCTTTTCTCTTTCACTCACTTGCCCTACCAGGCAGTAGGCTCCCCTGTCTATCTCCCTCTTTATATCCCCGGTCGGCTAACTTATTTATAAATGCCGTGACGTGACGAGGGTGAAGGTTATTATAGGGTTTTGGCGGTTTGCAAAATTTTGGAATGTGATATTTTGGCGGGAAGATAAATGAATAGGGCAGCATTGGGGAAGATGCTATTCGAGTCAAGTCTGTCTGGGAAATAAATAATGCATGGGACTGGGAGGGTAAGTGGGAAGAGAAATTGAAGAGGATTCTGCTCTGCACCTCCCAATCCATGCATGCATAATGCATATTGAGAAGCCAACTGTCTTAATGAAGTTTAGAGTCGCGGACTGGCTCTCGAAGCACAATCTCGTCTATCCCTAGGGTATGTATGAATTTGTTGACTCGCCTACCCCTATGATTAATATCCTGCAGGACAACGAGCGAGGAGTTACCTTTCCTCGGAGCATTGTCAATCCTCCCCAGCCTCACCTGTAACCTCTCTTTCTTTTCTTGGCGGTCTGCGCCTACCTGTCATAAATAAATATATATATATATATATATTATGTATCCAATCCAACTGTCCCAATCGAATTAATACAACTCTTTGAGTATAATTTCTCTGTCCAAATATTAGCAATATACTCGAACCATAGCATCACTTCATATTTACCCTTCATTTTCTATAAATAACATCAACTCTCTGTTTTATACATAAGTTTTGTAGCACCAAAACAACATGAAATTCACCTTTGCATATGCTCCCAAGACCTTAAATGTATACCATTAGATCACAACGTCAGGCACAGACTCCAAATTAAGATTTTGTACATATGGTCACGAGCCATAATCGGAGTAATTTAATCTTGATTGGGAACATACTTCTACTCTATTATTCACTCTCAATCCTTCCCCCAAATTATGTTTATCAGACAAAAAAGATTCACTTATCGATTGAATCGTAATAGATTCTTCCTCCATTATCTTTGAGGCCGACTAGATTCACTTCTCCATTGAATGATAAAAGATTCATATTAAAAGGATTAATACCCTAGTT